GAGAGGCACACACTGCAAGATGCTTGAAGTCCGGTGTGAAGTTTCCACAGTCTGTGTTGATTTGGGGAGCCATGTCATCTGCTGGTGTTGGCCCACTGTGCTTCATTAAGTCCAGGGTCAACGCAGCCGTCTACCAGGAGATTTTGGAGCACTTCATGCTTCCTTCCACAGACCAGCTTTATGGGGATGCTGACTTCATTTTCCAGCAGGACTTGGCACCGCCCACACTGCCAAAAGCACCAAAACCTGGTTCAATGACCGTGGGATTACTGTGCTTGATTGGCCAGCAAACTCGCCTGACCTGAACCCCATAGAGAATCTATGGGGCATTGCCAAGAGAAAGATGAGAGACATGAGACCGAACAATGCAGAAGAGCTGAAGGCCGCTATTGAAGCATCCTGGTCATCCATAACACCTCAGCAGTGCCACAGGCTGATAGCTTCCATGCCACGCCGCATTGAGGCAGTAACTGCTGCAAAAGCGGCCCAAACCAAGTACTGAGTACATATGCAGCTTCTACTTTTCAGAGGTCCGATATTGTTCTATGTACAATCCTTGTTTTATTGATTGCATGGAATATTCTCATTTTCTGAGATTGTGGATTTGGGGTTTTCATGGAATATTCTCATTTCCTGAGATTGTGGATTTGGAGTTTTCATGGAATCTTCTCATTTTCTGAGATTGTGGATTTGGGGTTTTCATGGAATCTTCTCATTTTCTGAGATTGTGGATTTGGGGTTTTCATGAGCTGTAAGCCATAATCATCACAATGATGACAAATCACGGCTTGAACTATCTTGCTTTGCATGTAATGAGTCTCATATATTAGTTTCACCTTTTAAGTTGCTGCACTGAAATAAATGAACTTTTGCACCAGATTCTAATTTTTCGAGTTTCACCTGTATGTGTGCTCTCCCTATATGTACGGTGTGCTCTCACTGTGTGTATGTGTGCTCTCCCTATATGTACGGTATGCTCTCACTGTGTGTATGTGTGCATTTTTGTAAAATAATGTTCACCTATGGATGTATTGCCTAATTTTTGTCTATTTTCTTTGACCCATCTCTCCTGTACCAGGAAATCAGGAAAATATTGTCCCTCATCTCATCATGAAAGCCTGAGATGCATGAGACGGATGCAGTAGTAGTAATGTAGTTGCATTCATTTCATGGATTTTTGGTTTACGGCTCCCAAGCTTCCACGCCTATCATTAAAACGCTCCTCCAAAACCAGTTTGTGGTCCTTTTAATCAATAAATCCAATTTTAAATCACCGACACATTATTTTATCTCCATTATTGGTCGATGTCAGGTGATCTCCCGGATCTCCAGCGCCGGCAGTTTTCTCCACACGGTAATGCCTTTCTCTATATTTGTCATTGAATGTACCTTTGGGTCCATAAAAAAAGAATCCCCTGTGCAGAAGTGCAGAGTTTTGTAAATATGGACAGAGATTTAAAAAAAAAAAAAAAAAAAAAAAAAGGCCATTTAGCGTTGGCTGCGAGTTAATGGGAAGAAAATCTTTGGCACAAATAGCATTCAGCAAGACAAAACGTCTCCGCTGCACATTGATTGTGGGGCAGCCAAGGTCACTTGCGAGGATGATAAAGGTTGTGGCGAGGCTAAAAATACCAGATAATAGTGAATGTACACTACAGCAATTTTATAGCAAACTACAGACAATTAGGGCTGAATCCCAGGAGCCACCAGGCCTGCAAATGTCCCATCTCCAGCCTTTCAGCTCATGTTCTTTGGATTTTATTAGGTCATGGATTTTCTCTTTATACATCCTACGGCTTGCTGAAATGCAGAAACCTTTTTCAAACCAGGCTCAGCCTTTTGAGGGCAGAAAAATAGTATTTAACTCTATATGGCCAAAAGTATGTGACCCACCCTCCCTCCCCCCTCCGAATGATGGAGTTCAGGTGTCTCAAGTGAAAGGTCCCGATAATCCTCCATCATACAAAGACATTGTAGACAATCGTGCTCTTCCAACCTTGTGGTTTGGTGAAGACCCTTTCTGTTCCAGCATGACTGTTCCCCTGTGTACAAAGACAGCTCCATAGAGACATGGTTTGATCAGTTTGGTGTGGAGGAACTTGAGTGACCTGCACAGAGCCCTCACCTCAGCCCTACTGAATATCTTTGGGATGGATTGGAACAATGATGGTGAGGCAGGTCTTCTCATCCAATATCAATTCCTGACCTCACAATTCCACAGACACTCTAAAGTCTTGTCAAGGTATGACCAGTTTTAACAGTTTGTTGTGGAGAAATGCGAGCGTCCTGAGCCCTGATCTCAACCCTACTGAACACTTTTGGGATGGATTGGAACAATGATGCTGAGCCAGGTCTTCTCATCCAACATCAGTTCCTGACCTCACATAGAGGCTTGTCAAGGTATGACCAGTTTGACCAGTGTGGTTTGGAGGAACTCAAGTGTCTTGCACAGAGCTCTGACCTCAACCCTACTGAACATCTTTGGGATGGATTGTAATGATGGTGAGGCAGGTCTTCCTCATCCAATACCAGTAAGGATTGTGTGGCAGGTCTTCTCATCCAATAGCAGTTCCTGACCTCACATATGGGCACATGTTTCCACAGACAATGTAAAGTCTTGTCAAGGTATGACCAGTTTGGTGTGGAGGAACTCAAGTGTCCTAACCTCAACCCTACTGAAAACCTTTGGGATGGATTGAAACACTGATTGTGAGCCAGGTCTGTGGAAATGTGTGCTCATATGTGAGGTCTGCTCATCCAACATCAGTACCAGACCTCAGAGATGTTATAGCTGCAGACGGGGCACTTCTGTACTAATGGTAATGGGGTAGGAAAGTCTATATTAATGGCCATTGGGGGGGGGTGAACTCCATATTATTAGTAATGGGAGAGATAGTTTATTAATGGTAAAGGGTGGGAAGCTCCATATTAATGGTAATAGGGGGACACCATAATAATGGATATTAACAGTAATTGGGGAAACTCCATATTAATGGCACTAAATATTAATGGAAATGGGGGAGACACCATGTTAATGGTCATGGAGAGGCAAGGGGGAGGCAACTCCATATTAATGGTAATGGGGCAACTCTAATAATGGTAATGGGGGGGGGGGGAATCTCCACATTAATGACCATGGGGTTGGCAACTCAGTAATAATGGAAATGGGGGAGACTCTAACGTTAATATGGAGTCCTGCACCCCATGGTCGTTAATATAGAGTCTCCTCCATTGCCATTATTACTAAATAGAACCCCCCATGGTCATTAATGTGGAGTCCCCATATTACCATAAATATAGAGTTGCCCACCATTGCTCTTAATATACAATTTCCCGCCTAATTACCATTAATATGGAGCTACCTCCCCCATACGCATTACCATTAATATGGAGTCTCCTCATTACCATTGATATGGACTCCCCACTCCATTACCATTAACATGAACTTGCTGAGCAATGGCGAAGGGCCATGGAAGTTGCTCACCCATTGATATTATTATGGAGTCTGGCCCATTACCATTAAAATGGAGTTGCCTCCCCATGGCCATTAATATAATGGGGGGAGACACCATGGTAACGGCCATGGGGGGCAAATCCATATTAATTGTAATAGAATCGGGCAACTCCATGGCTGTGGTTTTGGGACAGCATGTCTAACAGGCTCACAAAGGTGTGATTTCCACAATCTTTCACCTGTATAATATAAGCACGATAACGACTCCAAACCCTGACAAGGAGGGATTGTGTTGGCTGCCGAAACATGTTGTCTACTTTATGTGATAATGTTATAAGTCTTAGACTCTTTTATCACTTGGTCCAGCACTCTTGCTGTACGTTCATGCTTTGGGTCTGATGTCTTCTCCATTTTATATAACAAATAATTTTTGAAGACCCAGCACACCACCAAGGTTTTCATTGCTGTGCTGGTCCTTGACAGGGCTACAAGTACTGGGAAAGTCCAACATTTTGAGTTGCCACCAAGGGGAAATCTTCCAATGGGGACACTCGTGACAAGTAGGGGTATTACCTTCATTTTCCCAAAACCTGGAAAGCCCATCTGTGACGTTTCATAATAATCACAACTTCAGACACACAAATTACAAACACTGAAGTGACATATAAAACAGGGAGAACAGATTCAACCAAGTGTAGGATCATGTAGATCTTGGAACTCTGAGACGGCCAATATGTAACCCGTCCACCACAGGATCCTTCAGTAACTATTTTTTATCATATTTGCGCATTATTTATGAATTATGTATGAATTATTAGTCTATTGAGCTGATGCATTGATTGTGCAGTGATGGGAAAAAGGAGCAGGTGGATGAACAGTGGTGGGAGATGCAGAGGAAGGAGTGAGGGCGATGATGGGCTTGGTGATGTGCAGATGATGAGGTCAGGAGGCCTTGATCAGAAGGTGGATCCAATGAACATGCATTGTGCAGATTTGGTGGCCAACACAAGTTGATACAATTCTGTCACACTCCCATTTTGTCCATTTGTGGGAAGTGCACCACAGAGATGGTTAGGTGAACATTGCATTCTCTAGGGTGCGCAGTAGGTGCATTTCGGTGGAGTTTGGGGCGACTCTACTTACGAAGCAGACTGTTGATGGGCTGGTGGAGCCCCCAGTCTTTTTTCATTGTTTGACTCCCCCGTGCCTCTCACCTCTCCTCCGGACGAGGCTTGCTTTAAATTTATCGGAGAAGATCAGGAGCAGAAAGGGGGTAGAAGGGGAAGCAGAGGGAACGAAAGGGGGCGAGATCACGTTTAAGACGGTTGAAGCAAAAAGATTGTCGTAAAGAAGGAAATGATCAGAGAACATTCAGCTTCAAAAATAAGAGGGCAACATGGCTGCTTCATTGTAACATTTGCAATATTTAACTACAAGTCTTGTACAATTTGGGTAGGGAATGGCAAATACGGTGTTATCCAAAAGCAACCAGACAGAACTAACCTGCCCGGGTCTAAAAACAGGCCCAACATGTGGTGGCCCTTACCTGTGTGAAGAGGAGGGTATCGGAGCTCCGTGTGTCCAGGCTCAGCACAAAACGCATGGACTGGAACAGGTCGTGGATGCTGCACCGGAACTGCTCTTCCTCCAAGCCTCCAGTGGACCGTGCAAAGAGCAGGCGAGACTGGACAATGAACTTGAAGAGGATTTCTAAAGCCTGCAAAGAGAAATCATCATTTTCTAACAAAGCCATTTGATCTCCATGTCAGAGCTGATATGAGAGCAGTGGGTTTGTTGATGAACAAAGGGTTAGGGTTCCTCTGTTCTTCAATATATAACATCATGGGGCCAGCCATTGAGGGGGCCACTTTTTGCCACAAGAACAAATGAAAGGAGTTCCCCTAACCTGTAGACAGGTGCACTTAGCTGTTTTGCCTTTAGGTGGCTCTGTACCAGCATAGTGTCTTTTATAGCAGACAGTGTCATCAGGTGCTAAGCCCCTTTTAGTTACAGCCCTCCTGCTATGATATCATAGGTGAGTCAGTGCCCCGTATAAAGCCAGGTTAGGAGGGGCCCTAGTTACACTTGAGGCATAGGAGCCATGCACCCCACACCAGCATACGTTGTAACCAGCATGTGGGGGCCCTGTACAGGGCAGGAGGTTGGGGTGGAGTAGTCCTGCACCCATGAGAGCCAGCTGTAGACTTTCTGACCCTTATGGAGGTGGGTGCTAGGGTGGACTTCAAAGGTATTTTAAGCAAAGCCAAGAGAGACCGGGAGAGGTGTACCTACTGAGGAGGTGTCTACAGAGAGCCCAGTCCAGTGAGTACTAATGACCTCGGGTGGAAGGAGAGACTGTTAGTGGGAGATGGCTGCTTAAAATGCTGCATATGCTCTCACATGTGACTACTGTGGACCGTCCACAAAATGTGATTGACTATGGATTGTGACGTGACTCCAGAATGTATGTTGATGTGTTGTGACTGTTATGCCATTCCCTGAAATCCGTCAGTAAAGTGTGTGGACATACCTTCCTTGGCGCACCCTGAAAACCCATCTCTTCAGGGAAGCCTACCCCACCCCCTGCTAACTTGCCAACCTCCTCCACTCTTCCTTCCACTCCATCCCCCACAGCTATTTCCTCCTGTGCCACCATCCCCTCCCCCTCCTAGATTGTAAGCTCGAAAGAGCAGGGCCCTCAATCCCCTCATGTTTTGCATTGTATTGGTATTGTTCTGTCACATGTTCTGTCCCCCTTTGTAATGTACAGCGCTGAGCGAACTATTGGCGCTTTATAAATACTGTATAATAATAATAATAATTTAAAGGTCAATGGCCAAGACTGTCATGTGGAGGCCTCTGGTATAGAGAGCTCGGCCCCCACAGGTGGGATAGTGTTCTAGCAAAAGGACAGGAGTGGGGCAGGGACTTGTGCTCTTAGCGCCAATTCTAGCCAACCACAGAGCCCCTTTTACAAACCCATTATAGCCATTTAAAGTCCACTGAACCATTAAAAACCCCCAAAAAAATCTTAATGAAGCCTTCGCCATTGACTCCAATATTTAAGCAACTTAAAAACTGAATTTTGCTCCTCTCTAGTTATTATATTTTAATGTTATCACAATTTTGTGTGATTATAGCCAGCCAACCATGAACGTGGCTGCTGCTTGGCTGAAATGTGGTCTGTTTTGGGATAGGGAAGTTTGATGTAAAGTTGCCCCCAAGATGTAGCAATTCCCAGATATACACCCAGCAACAACATTATCTACAATGACCAGCTATCTGGCGTTCTATCACATCTCCCGTACTCCCACAATGCTCACCCTCATGGCTTCTTGGATGTGGTCCTGCCGTACGAGGTCGGCTGATCGCTCCATGTACCACTTCAGGCAGCGAATCAGTTCTCTGAAAGAGAAAGAGCAAAGGCCTGTTTGTGTCACCATGTCTGACTACGGAGGGCGACATACACAGCACCACTGACTGATTCTTCTGACCGATGCATGCAAAGCCAAAGTATCATGCTTACTTTCTTCTGCAAATTGTGATAAAGACAAAACACCCCCGTCCTAACCTGCACATTGACTCATGTATGGGCTCCTCCACATGGCAGACCTTCTCTGTATTGTCAGAAGGTCACTTTCCCTCCAGAATGGCCCAGGCAGTTTCTTCTAGTTTTGGGAGGACGGGGTTACCAAATCACAATTATTGATAAAGATGTCCCATATTTTCATGTAAACCTAATGTCCTCAACCCCCCCAAATGATGGTGTTGAGGAAATGTGCAGATTATCAGCTGATTTATTGCAAGTCTTCTATTTTACTTCACATTTAGGCTGATGACCCATCAAGCACCAACCTCAGTCCTAGCGAAACGTAGGATTAGGGTTAGCTGGTGACCCATCAAGCACCCACCCAAGTCTTAGATGACGTAGGGTTATGGTTAGCTGATGACTCATCCAGCACCAACCCCAGTCCCAGTTGACATAGGATTAGGGTTAGCTGATGACCCATCAAGCACCAACTCTAGTCCCAGATGACGTAGGGTTAGGTTACCTAATGACCCATCAAGCACTAACTCTAGTCCCAGCTGACGTAGGATTGGGGTTATGGTTAGCAAATGACCCATCAAACACCAACCCTAGTCCCAGTTGATGTAGGGTTAGGGTTATCTGATGACCCATCAAGCACCAACCCTAGTCCCAGATGATGTAGAATTAGAATTAGGGTTAGCTGTTGGCCCATCAAGCACCAATCCCAGTCCCAGATGAATACAGGATTAGGGTTAGTTGATGACCTATCAAGCACTAACCCCAGTCCCAGTTGATGTAGGATTAGGGTTAGATGAATACCCATCAAATACCAACTCTAGTTACAGTTGATGTAGGATTAGGGTTAGCTGATGATCCATCAAGCACCAACCCCAGTCCTAGCTGACGTAGGATTAGGGCTAGCTGGTGACCCATCAGCACACACCCTAGTCTCAGATGATGTAGGGTTAGGGTTAGTTGATGACTCATCAACCAACCCCAGTCCCAGTTGACATAGGATTAGGGTTAGCTGATGACCCATCTAGCACCAACCCTAGTCCCAGATGACGTAGGGTTAGGGTTATGGTTGGCAGATGACCCATCAAACACCAACCCTAGTCCCAGCTGATGTAGGGTTAGCTGATGACCCATCAAGCACCAACCCCTCTCCCATCTGAAGTAGGAACATTGACGAATCTATGACACAACCAGAAGACCTTCTCCCAATCCTACTGGGAACCTACTTCCCACAAAAAGGCTCCAAATTATTCCCAACCATTCCCACTTCCCCAATACATTACAGTCCCAAACAATGGTTTCAAAGTTACCTTCTTTCCAAATTTTACACCCACCTGTAGGCCAGGGCACCAGCGAAGTGTTTCTGGATGTAGGTTTCCAGCACTGGGCGGAAATGGTAATATTTACTGTCCCGTAAGAGGTTGATGATGAAGACCTGTTGAAGGAGGTTAGCAATGAGTTAAACAACAAAGGTGGTTTAAGCAATCTCTGTGCTTTGCTAAAAAGAAACTAATGAATTGACAGACTAGTAGAAAGGTTGGTGCATACAAGACTGGAACAGAGGTAGGAACCGGTTAATTTTATTATTTCCATATGGGGAGATTGCTCCTCACTTCCTGTCCAGATGACAGGAAAGGAAGTGGGAAGAAATCCCTACAAAGTGAGGGGAAATCCCTTCTGAGGGCTTGTTCACACAGGTGGCAAAAAAGCAGCCCATAGACTGTCCATTTAAACTAGGTGTCAGGGTCCTGTCCACGGCAGAAGTTCTGGAAGATCTGGCATTTCTGCCAGTACTCTGCATGGCCGCAGAAGCACACATCAGCCTCAGTTTGGTGCCAGACGGCCTTTATAAGGAGGCTCATCACTTCCTCTGGTTGCTGGATGAGCTCTAGCTCCCCGTGCCTTGTTCCTGTTTCCTGTGATTTTGACCTGTGATTTCCTGTTACCGACTGGGCTTGCTCCTGGATCTGTCTACTCTGATTTACCCCTGATCTGAGATCGGCTTGGCTTACGGATGCTCTCTCTCTCGCTCCTCTGTGTATGACCTCGGCTATCCCATCTGACTACGTCTGCTCTGATTCCCACCTGGTACCTGACCTTGGCTTGAACCGACTACCCAGTAAACATCTAAATCCCGGAAGGACTTGCATACCACACACAGGCGCCTCCTGTCTGTAGACCTATCTCCGTGCACCAGCTGTGCTTCTGAGTGGACCACCAACCAGCACTCCTACAGGCGACCTGTGCAACTTTGGGCAGACTCCCGCTGTCCCACTCTCAGGGGAGTCCGGAACTTAGCCGCAAGGGAAGCCCTCTCTCCATAGCCTCCATCACCAGGTACGTGATACTAGGGCATGCCGTTGCTCAGGGCTGTACTCATGCAGCTTCTGTTGCAAAAATTAAATGGAATTTCGCATTTGGCAGGTGGTATCAAGTGAATGAGTCGGTGCCACAACCGTCATGCAACAGTGTGCACTGCGGGGTGGGTCAGCATGTTAAAGTTTAAAGGAGGAGATGTGGAGGCAACATATCACCTCATCATAGTCTACCACAAGCCCTCTGAAAAATAATACATGGTGCACCCAGTTATCTCTATCGGCCTGAAGGTCCATAGAAGGACACACAATATATAACATGTCTAGTTCTCAGAGGAGCAGCAGGGCCTTACCAGTGACTGGAAGACGAGCAGGCCATACTTCTCCGTGTTGTCGTCTAGGATAACAAACAGCGTGTCCAAGATGTCCTGCAGGAACTGGTATGAACAACCGAAAAATCTGGTAACAATCTCCCGACAAAATCAGAAGAAACTCAAGTGCATAGATAAGGGCAATTGTATATTGAACATCTTTGGGCAAAGGAGGACATTACTGGAAGGTAGAAGAGACATTTTTTTTTAAAAAGTTTGGAAAAGTATACAGAGACCCACCGGGGTCAAAGTGACTCCATCACCACCACACAAGCCATTCAATTGTAGTCCCACTGCATGGCCCAACAACTGGTTTTGCACAGGATCCTCTGGTGGCAGTACAGGCGTACCTCGGTTTATGAATTTAATGCGTTCTGCGTGACTTTTCGTATTACGAAAAATTCGTAAACCGAAACGCAGTTTCCCTTAGGAATGAAAACCAATTAATCCATTCCGGAGGTCAGAAAAAAGTCAAAAAAAGTCTTTTATCTGTACAAAACTCTGTTTAAAATGCACTTTATAGGCAAAAAAACTGTACAGGGACATGATTAAAAAAAATTTGTAAATGCATTGAAAACCAATTAATCCGTTTGTATTGCGAAAAAAAAAATTGTAAACCGAGCCGTTATCTTCAATGGATTTTCATTCGTAAACCGAAAATTCCGTTAACCGAGGCGTTCGTAAACCGAGGTACGCCTGTACTACATTTTACGGCTGGAAAATGTCCACAGAACGTTGGGTCTTCTCACTCTTACCTTCACAATTTCCTCTCCGCTCACATGGCGCAGGCGGCCAAGAATGTCCAGTATCCGGTCCGGGTAGACCTTCCACTTCAGGAGAGCCAGGAGGTCAACTGAAGATGTGAAGAGAGACAGCGAGTAAGGTGGGAGGGGGGGGGGGGGGGGGGGGGGGGGGGGGGGGGGGGGGGGGGGGTGGAGCAAGTTTCAGTAATCCAGAAGACAAATTATCGGAGATTGGGTCATACTATGAAGATCATTGGCAGGTATGGTTGCTGATAAGATAACACAACCATCAGTCCCTCCCCCCATGCCAGGGTACTAGGTGTAATCCTGGACTCCCATCTGTCCTTCCAGCCCCAAATCCAATCGCTGTCCAAATCTTCTAGACTTCACCTCCGCTACATCTCCAACCTCCGCAACATCTCCAACCTCCGCAACATCTCCAACCTCCGCAACATCTCCAACCTCCGCAACATCTCCAACCTCCGCAACATCTCCAACCTCCGCAACATCTCCAAGATACGGCCGTTCCTAACCTCGGAAACCACTAAGCAACTCATTCACTCCCTGGTTATCTCTCACCTTGACTATTGTAACTCCCTCCTCAATGGCTGACTTCATCGCAGGCTATCCCCTCTTCAGTCTATCATGAATGCTGCTGTCAGACTCATCCACCTTACTAACCATTCTGTATCTGCCACCCCCCTCAGCCAATCCCTCCACTGGCCTCCATTCAGTGTCCTCCACCCCTCTCTGCCAATCCCTCCACTGACCTCCACTCAGTGTCCTCCACCCCTCTCTGCCAATCCCTCCACTGACCTCCACTCAGTGTCCTCCACCCCTCTCTGCCAATCCCTCCACTGGCTCCCATTCAGTGTCCTCCACCCCTCTCTGCCAATCCCTCCACTGGCCTCCACTCAGTGTCCTCCACCCCTCTCTGCCAATCCATCCACTGGCCTCCACTCAGTGTCCTCCACCCCTCTCTGCCAATCCCTCCACTGGCCTCCATTCAGTGTCCTCCACCCCTCTCTACCAATCCCTCCACTGGCCTCCCCTCAGTGTCCTCCACCCCTCTCTGCCAATCCCTCCACTGACCTCCACTCAGTGTCCTCCACCCCTCTCTGCCAATCCCTCCACTGGCTTCCCATTGCCCAATGGATAAAATTCAAAACATTAACAATAACATATAAAGACATTTATAACTCCGCCCCAAATTACATCACATCACATCACCATCTTGTCTCCAAATATCACCCAAAGCGCCATCTCCGCTCCTCGCACGACCTCCTGCTCTCTAGCTCCCTTGTCTCCTCCTCCCATGCTTATCTGCAGGACTTCTCCAGAGCCTCCCCCGTCCTCTGGAACTCTCTACCCAAATTTATCAGACTATCCTAATTAGGAGTGCTTAATTAGGCAGTTAGCCTGTCTGCTCATGCCCTGGATTCTGGCTGGTATGACGTTTGCTCGTTCCTGCCCACAATTGTTGTTTCGATAGTGTTTTCGACTTTGTTGTTTGCCATTGTCTACCTTTCTAGAACCTGCGCTTGGTTTAGGATTGGTTTCAATGATCTGTCCATCAGCATGCTGATTCTTCTACTGACTTTGATCTACTCTGACCATCTGTCTGCAGGCATTGTTATAGGCAGGTTAAGCTGGTTATTGGAGCAAAAAATGTAACGATTAGCTTTGAGTCTTTGACATTTTGCTCATTCATCTGCAGTGCACACCTGTCGTATTTAGGAGTGCTTAATTAGGCTGCTGGACATTCAGCCTGGGCATAATGAACAAGTTAGCCTGTCTGCTCATGCCCTGGATTCTGGCTGGTATGACGTTTGTTCGTTCCTGCCCACAATTGTTGTTTCGATAGTGTTTTCGCCTTTGTTGTTTGTCATTGTCTACCTTTCTAGAACCTGCGCTTGGTTTAGGATCGGTTTCTCTGATCTGTCCATCAGCATGCTGAGTCTTCTACTGACTTCAGTCTACTCTGACCATCTGTCTGCAGGGCTCTAGTATCTGCCTTGACCTCTGATGACACAATGGGCCCACCAAACTCCTCGTGAGTAATGATTCTGGCTGGGCGGAGCACAGTACCATTCTGACTGAGAGCAATGAAGGGACGGGGCACTGTTGTTGGCGTGAAACTGTATAATGGATATAGAGGTCTCCAAACTATGGCCCTCCATCTGTTGAAGTACTACAAGTCCCATCATGCCTCTGCCTCTGGGAATCTTGCCTGTGGCTGTCAGAGTCTTGCAAGGTCTCATGGGACTTGCAGTTCCTTAATACCTGGAGGGCCGTAGTTTGGAGACCCCTGATATAGAGGAACAGATGGTGATAGGGGTATGCTTGTGGAGCAATGCTGCAAATACTGTACAGTAACATTGATACATGGGTAGGGATTGGTACATAGGTAGGGATTGGTAAATGGGTGGTAGGGATTGATACATGGGTAGGGATTGATACATGGGTAGGGATTGGACATGGGTAGGGATTGGTACATGGGTAGGGATTGGTACATGGGTAGGGATTGGTACATGCGTAGGGATTGATACATGGGTAGGGATTGGTACATGGGCAGGGATTGATACATGGGTAGGGATTGGTATATGAGTAGGGATTGGTACAAGGGGAAGGGATTGGTACATGGGTAGGGATCGGTACATGGGTAGGGATTGGTACATGGGTAGGGATTGGTACATGGGTAGGGATTGGTACATGGGTAGGGATTGATACATGGGTAGGGATTGGTACATGGGTAGGGATTGATACATGGGTAGGGATAGATACATGGGTAGGGATTGATACATGGGTAGGGATTGGACATGATGGTCACAGTACCATTCTGGGTGAGCTTGGTGGAGGAGAGCTGGGTAGGGATTGGTACATGGGTAGGGATTGGTACATGGGTAGGGATCGGTACATGGGTAGGGATCGGTACATGGGTAGGGATCAGTACATGGGTAGGGATTGGTACACGGGTAGGGATCGGTACATGGGTAGGGATTGGACATGATGGTCACAGTACCATTCTGGGTGAGCTTGGTGGAGGAGAGCTGGGTAGGGAATGGTACATGGGTAGGGATCGGTACATGGGTAGGGATCGGTACATGGGTAGGGATCGGTACATGGATAGGGATTGATACATGGGTAGGGATTGGTACATGGGTAGGGATTGGTACATGGATAGGGATTGGTACATGGGTAGGGATCGGTACATGGGTAGGGATTGGTACATGGGTAGGGATCGATACATGGGTAGGGATCGGTACATGGGTAGGGATTGGTACATGGGTAGGGATCGGTACATGAGTAGGGATCGGTACATGGGTAGGGATTGGACATGATGGTCACAGTACCATTCTGGGTGAGCTTGGTGGAGGAGAGCTGAGTGGAGACAGAGAAGGTCTCTTTGGGGCTTCGCTGGAAGATGAGGCTGGATGGGATGTTGGGGCAGCCGCTGTTGTCATCCTTGCAGCAGGGGAGGCCCAGGTACAATGCGTGGTTGTTGAATGTGCTGTTCTCATCGCACTGCAAATGGAGAGAGGGGGGTCACAGTCTGCCAGAAGGAGAGAGAGACACCATCCCTGCAAATGAGGAGGCCATACCTTGTAGACGTAGAGCTCATGGACATCGTCTGACAGCGTGGTCCCGTCGTCTCTCATCAGAGGAGTGAAGGAGAAACCAAAGAGCTTCTTCTCACCTTTATCTTTTGCTGCAACACGAAGAGAAGGGTGACGGTGGAAACAAAGGCCACAAACGGCAAGAAGCAGCACCAGCTGCGGTCACATGACAACGAGACATGCCAAGGGACGCCACATGACAGAAAGCTGCGGCATTGGCGTCGCGTAGCATGATGCTGGTAAGATCACGTGATACATAACAGACATGACAAAGACGGGACTGGGGGAGGGGGGATCACATGATCGGCCTCGTATTGCCGCCTTTACATACTTGAGCAGTGCCGGAACTCGAAGCGCAGATGGGAGCCCCGGAACCGATCGATAGGGATGGGCAGTTTGACCAGCTCCCCCCACCGCGGGCCGTTGTTGTGGTAGAGGACGAAGGAATGATACTGCGTCCGCGGCGGCTCCCCGGTGCCCAGGCTGACACAGTCCTGGAGAGACAGACCATGAAGGTTCCATCAGTAACACATTCCTGCATCGTTCACATTCACCTCACTCTGTTCAATCCACATCATTCACCATGAGTCCGGGAGAAATACACACCATAAAGAGCGCCGCCAAAAAGCAACGCCGCCAAATGGGTTCCGGTACAGTGAATGGGGCCATGCCGGCAGTCAGGAAGTGGCAGTCAGGAGGTGGCAGTCAGGAGGTGGCAGTCAGGAGGTGGCAGTCAGGAAGTGGCAGTCAGGAGGTGGCAGTCAGGAGGTGGCTGTCAGGAAGTGGCAGTCAGGAGGTGGAAGTCAGGAGGTGGCAGTCAGGAAGTGCAAGTCAGGAAGTGGCAGTCAGGAAGTGGCAGCCAGGAGGCGGCAGTATCACCTCCTCAATGCCTGGCAGCCGTTACTCTACCGTCCTCTGAAAAGTGAACCATCACGGATATGTGGATCACTTTTCAGAGAATCAAAAAAAGCGCCACAGGTGTGCCCTTAGTCTTTGGCACTCCAGAAGTGACTTTTAGAGCTTTTCAGTGTCCATGGCCCCTTTGGGGGTTCTTCTTACCCTTCTACTGCATGTCTCATAATAATAATCTTGGGGGCGGGGGGGGGGAGCCCCATATAACAGGCACAGCAGGTGCACACCTATGTCCTAAATATCTGACACAGATCAGCCCCCTGCTGCAGCCTCTCACCTTGTGACTACAAAGTTACACTGTACAGTCTGAACACTGGGGGAGGGGAGACTGAGGAAATGCTTCCTCCTCCTTCTACAAAGTTACAATGTACAGTCTGATCACTGGGGGAGGAGACTGAGGAAACGCCTCCTCCTCCTTCTACAAGGTTACAATGTACAGTCTGATCACTGGGGGAGGGGAGACTGAGGAAATGCTTCCTTCTTCTTCTACAAAGTTACAATGTACGGTCTCATCACTGGGGGGAGGGGAGACTGAGGAAATGCTTCCTTCTCCTTCTACAAAGTTACAATGTACAGTCTGATCACTGGGGGAGAGAAGACTGAGGAAATGCCGCATTCTCCTCCTTTTACATAGTACAATGTACAGTCTGATCACTGGGGGAGGGGAGACTGAGGAAATGTTCCCTACTCCTTCTACAAAGTAACAATGTACAGTCTGATCACTGGGGGAGGGGAGACTGAGGAAATGCCTTCACCTGCCTGCAGCAGACTGATGATATCGTCTCAGCCTAGGCAAAGTCACTGACTGGAGCTCAAGGATGGCATTTTATTGAGTGAAGGAATTTATACATGCAGACTTGTAAAGATAATGTCCAGTCCCCTGTATTTCCGCAGTTACTGTATAACAGACTCAGCAGCACGCATGAACAATATGGCGGCGTGTCCTCACCCTCAGGTTCTCGCCGTCTGCATACAGAACATGCATAGTGACTTCGATGTTTTTCTGTACGCTTTTCCCTCCTCTCTCAAACTCGCCCTTCTCCAGCGTCACATAGAGATCATTGCGGATGTCCCCTGCGAGGAAAGCAAGACATTAACATGTGACATAAACCAGGCTTGTGCGGTGGCCAAAGCAGAGCATCAACCATCAGCCTGGCATTGCATCGGCAGAACATTGCAGCTTCGAGGAGCAGTGCTGCCTTGCAGCATCATCTAGCACTCATGCATGGATGACAGAACTGAAAACTCTCAGACTCTCGGGTCCAATCAGCAGTCACGAGCCATCACGCCTTGTCAGATTTCACACAGCTCCCTCTGCAGACAGCATATCAGTGAGTATTGCCAAGCAATGGAGGCACTTACGCTCGGTAATCGCAATCTCTGAGGCATATGGGTTTTGTGGAATTTAATGGATACCAAGAGGGGTGAAACGTTTGAAATGAGAAGGTAATGACGAGGAAGAAAGAAGGGCAAGAAAGAGAAAAAAAATGGATTTGGGACGCGGAATTGGTGCATTGTTCGGAGCCAGGACAGCGAAGTGTCCTTCAGATGGTGCAACCACTACAGACTGGAGAAAGAATGATTAAATCAACGTTTTACATCACAGAGCTCATACAACAAAAAAAGGCAATCTGAAATAAAATATTGTTTGCCCGCAGCTGAGGAACTACTAGTCCAGCAATAATGGGTCAAGGACTGGCCTGAACAGTAGTAGGTTCCCATAGAACAGCTTCTAGAAGACCCATGCCTGCCTGTTCCACTGTTCCTAGACATTGGTCATACCTTGTACGTCCAGGTCTTCAACATACATTGTACATCCAGGTCTTCAACATACATTGTACATCCAGATCTTCAACATACCTTGTACGTCCAGGTCTTCAACATACATTGTACGTCCAGGTCTTCAACATACATTGTACATCCAGGTCTTCAACATACATTGTACATCCAGGTCTTCAACATACATTGTACATCCAGGTCTTCAACATACATTGTACATCCAGGTCTTCAACATACATTGTACGTCCAGGTCTTCAACATGCCTTGTACATCCAGATCTTCAACATGCCTTGTACGTCCAGGTCTTCAACATATCTTGTACGTCCAGGTCTGCAACATGCCTTGTACGTCCAGGTCTGCAACATATCTTGTACGTCCAGGTCTGCAACATGCCTTGTACGTCCAGGTCTTCAACATGCCTTGTACATCCAGATCTTCAACATACCTTGTATGTCCAGGTCTGCAACATGCCTTGTACGTCCAGGTCTTCAACATATATTGTACATCCAGGTCTTCAACATATCTTGTACGTCCAGGTCTGCAACATGCCTTGTACGTCCAGGTCTTCAACATATCTTGTACGTCCAGGTCTGCAACATGCCTTGTATGTCCAGGTCTTCAACATACCTTGTACGTCCAGATCTTCAACATACCTTGTATGTCCAGGTCTGCAACATGCCTTGTATGTCCAGGTCTTCAACATATCTTGTATGTCCAGGTCTTCAACATACCTTGTACGTCCAGGTCTTCAACATACATTGTACATCCAGATCTTCAACATACCTTGTATGTCCAGGTCTTCAACATGCCTTGTACATCCAGATCTTCAACATACCTTGTACGTCCAGGTCTTTTGCCCTGCTTGTGGCCACACTGTGACATTCAAGTCCTGCTTTGTGCTGCTGGACCTGGCTAGATAGTGGCTCCTATATATAAGGGTCAAGGACTGGCCTGAACAGTGGTAAGTTCTCATATATGTGCCCAAAGTTCATGGTCTCTTTTGCTAGACTTTGGACACACCTTGTACATCTAGGTCTTCATCCTTCCTTGCAGCCACACTTTGACTAAGGACCAGCAGCACAAAGCAAGACTTGAATGTCTAAGTTTGGCCACAAGGAGGGATGAAGATATAAGGGTCAAGGAATGGCCTAAATAGTAGCGGGTCCCCAGTTGGGTGATTCTAGTAGCTGCCTAGGGTGACTTCTTAAGTGTTTAATGTTTTTCCATTAGAGGGGGCAGGAAAGGTGGCATCGCTATGGGGGTGCAGACCGCACCCAGGTGACACCAGCCAGAGGGGTGACACCATCTAGTAGTATGCAATATCCGACCGTGATGGTTTCACCCCCATCCTGTGTACCTATTAATATTTATCTATATATAAAACAATTCTGTGCAGTGTTTTATGTGAAAAAAAGTATTGGTGGTGGTGGGTGACACCATGTTATACTGCACCAGGTGACACCAATCATAGTGGTGCCACTGGGCAGGAAGGTAAATACTCAGTTTTATGGACCCCTACCTGGCATGATGACATCAGGAAAGCCCAGCTTGCGAGTGACGGCTGCACCTCTGTTAAACAGAATTTGGTTTTCTCTTCTGATTTGCTCCATGTCACCCCGCAGAAGTTGTAGAGACACGATGAGTCCTGTGGGGGGGGATAATCCTGATCAGAGAGACCGTGACAACACATACACACATTGTCTTTCTCTCTCTCTCTCTCTCTCTCTCTCTCTCTCTCTCTGTCTCTCTCTATTCCCCCCATTCCTCCTAGAAAATAACCAACCCCCTCCTTTCCCAAAATCCTCATTACGCTTCCTAGAAATAGTGGAGAAGAAAGAGCCAGGAGGAGGTGAGCTGTGTTGTGTTCTCTGGGCTCTCCTTCCTGTCACCCATGCAGCACATGAGACAGGATCACTGATAGATAGTATGGGACTGTACACACACACCTCCTCCAAGGGCTGCTCATCTCTGGGCAGCAGGAAATGTGGGCAGGGGGTGGTAATCATACTGTGTGTGCAGTCCCATATGATCTATTAGTGATCCTGTCTCATGTGCTGCATGGACGACAGGAGGGAGAGCCCAGAGAACACAACACAGCTCACCTCCTCCCGCCTCTTTCCTCTCCACTTTTTCTAGTAAGTGTAATGTGGATTTTGGGAAGGGTGGAGGGGGTTGTTGGTGGTGTTATTTTCTAGGAGGAATGGGGGGAATAGAGAGAGAGAGAGAGAGATAGAGGGGGAAAAGAGGGGGGGAGGGAGGGAGGGTGGAGAGAGGGGGAGAGGAAAAGAGAGAGAGAGGAGGAGGAGAGAGAGAGAGGGAGGGAGGGAGAGAGAGGGAGAGGGGGGGGGGAGAGGGGGGAGAGAGGGGAGAGAAAGGGCGAGAGAGGGGGGAGGGAGAGGGAGGGGGGGGGAAGAGGGAGGGGGGGGGAAGAGGGAGGGAGGGGGGGGAGAGAGGGAGAAAGAGGGGGAGGGAGAGGGGGAATGAGATATAGAGGGAGAGCAAATGAAAGAGAGAGAGGGGGGGAGAGAGAGGGGGGGGGGAGAGAGGGGAGAGAAAGGCAGAGAGAGGGGGAAGAGGGAGGGAGAGAGAGGGGGAGAGAGAGGGGGAGGGAGAGAGAGAGAGGGGAGAGAGAGGGGGGAGAAAGGGGGGGGAGAGTGAGACAGAGGGAGGGAGAGAAAGAGAGGGAGGGAGAGAGGGAATGAGATAGAGAGGGGGAGTGAATGAAAGAGAGAGGGAGGGAGATGGGGGACAGAGAGGGAGGGAGGGGGGAGAGAGGGGGTGGAATGAGAGAGAGAGAGAGGGGGGGGGGGGAATAAGAGAGGGGGGAGAAAGGGCATGAGAGAGAGAGGGGGGGAGAGGCGGAATGAGAGAGAGAGAGGGGGGAAGAGAGAGGGACCGAGAGAGAGAGAGGGGGGAGAGGGGGTGAAAGAGAAGGAGGGAGGGGTTGAGAGAGAAGGAGGGGGGGGAGAGAAGGAGGGTAGAGAGAAGGGGGAGAGGGGGGAGGAGAGAGGGGGGGGGAAAGAGAGGGATAGAGAGAGGGAGGGGGGGAGAGAGTGATAGAGAGAGGGGGGGGAGAGAGAGGGGGAGGGGGGAGAGAGAGAGGGGGGTATATCTTATGTACATACACACACTTACTGAACTCTCTTGTTGTCTCATGGGGGGAGGGGGGGGGGGCACTATTGTTGTGTTGCCCAGGGCAGCAGAGAACCTAAATACATCACTGGGTGGACTGTGATGTTGAGAGAGGAACCCCAATCCTGAGTTGCCCTATCTAGGGGGCCAGGTGGAGGAGAAGAGGCGGCCACCTTGAGCTAATCAGCAGGCGGGGGGGGGGGGGGGGGGGGGGGGGAGTCAAAACAGCAGAATGGGATTAGGGCGCACTTTCGCCTTGGATGCCTTGCCCCCCCCCCTGGTCCTACGTTTGGGTGGAAGGATTTGGCTCACCATAGTTGGAGCTCGGCGTGGAGTACTTGGTGCTGGTTTTGCGGATGATATTCTCGTGGACCTGGAACCATTCATTCTCATTGTTACACCTGAAACAAAACAGAAACAATACAGATCCTCGTCTCTGTCATACGGGCCGCAGGATGTCATTAGATCTACAGCACTGACCCCCCCCCCCCCCCCCCCCCGGGGGACATGACCCAAATTACTTCATTGCATTATTATATTCCTTGTCTGTATGTCATCGCCATGTTTCTGTTCTCCGTGAGATAAAATGCAAATGGATTTTGCTAAAGCAGCAACAAAAAAAAAAAAAAAACCAAAAAAATCTATGGCCTAACCCCTCCCCCGCCTCCATCTTCCTGATCAGGCCATTTTTTTTTGCAATACGGCGCTGCGTTACTTTAACTGGCAATTGCGCGGTCATGCAACGCTGCAACCAAATGAAATTTATGTCTGTTTTCCCCACAAATAGAGCTTTCTTTCGGTGGTATTTGATCGCCTGTGTGTTTTTTTTTTTTTTGCGCTATAAACAAAAAAAGACGACAATTTTCAGAAAAAAACTATATTTTTTACTTTTTCTTATGAAACATGTCCGGTAAAAAAAAAATCAAATTTTTCATCTTAACTTTCGGCCAAATATATTCCATGTCTTCGCTAAAAGAAAAATCCTGATACGCGGAAATGAATTGGTTTACGTGAAAGTTACAGCGTCTACAAATGGCGAGATAGATACTGCGATTTTTTTTACATTTTTTTTTTACTAGTAATGGTGGTTTTGCACGGACAAGTGATTGATCAGTGTTGCACAGACAAGTGATTGATCAGTGTTGTACGGACAAGTGATTGATCAGTGTTGCATGGACAAGTGATCGATCAGTTTTCCATGGACAAGTGATTGATCAATTTTGTATGGACAAATATTTGATCAGTTTTGCACAGACAAGCATTTGATCAGTTTTGCAAAGACAAGTGATTGATCAGTTTTGCACAGACAAGTGATTGATCAGTGTTGCACAGACAAGTGATTGATCAGTGTTGCACAGACAAGTGATTGATCATTTTCCACTGACAAGTGATTGATCAGTTTTGCACAGACAAGTGATTGATCAGTTTTGCACAGACACGTGATTGATCAGTGTTGCACAGACAAGTGATTGATCAGTTTGCATGGACAAGCGTTTGATCAGTTTTTGCACAGACAAGTGATTGATCAGTTTTGCACAGACAAGTGATTGATCAGTGTTGCACAGACAAGTGATTGATCAGTTTTGCACAGACAAGTGATTGATCAGTTTTGCATGGACAAATATTTGAGAGGTTTGGCAATTGACAAGTGATTGATCAGTGTTGCATAGACAAATAATTGATCGGTTTGGCATGAACAAATATTTGATATGTTTTGAACACACAAGTGATTGATCAGTTTTGCACAGACAAGCGTTTGATCAGTTTTCAATGGACAAATATTTTATAAGTTTTGCACAGACAAGTGATTGATCAGTTTTGCATTGAAAAAATAATTGATCAGTTTGTCACAGACAAGTAATTGATCAGATTTGCATGGACAAGCCTTTGATCAGTTTTGCAAGGACAGGCGATTGATTGATTTTGCACAGACAAGTGATTGATCAGTTTTGCATGGAAAAAATAATTGATCAGTTTGTCACAGACAAGTAATTGATCAGATTTGCATGGTCAAGCATTTGATCAGTTTTGCAAGGACAGGCGATTGATTTTGCACAGACATTGGAGGAACTCACATCTGATTTCCTGGCTTGTACTCACGTGTAAACCTTCAGGACAAAATCCTTCTCGTCTCGATGCTCACACAGTGCCGGCAGCACCTCCCCGAGGCTCAGGACTGCGCAGCCATAGGGCCGCCGGTAATGGATGTGCGAGGGGCCTTTCCGGGAGTCGTTTAATAGCATACGGCCTGAAAGGAAGAGTGGAGAATGAACTGCAAATGTGAGCGATGGCTCCACACAAGGCTCAGTGTGACAGATCTCTGAGCCAATAACCAGGCAATGATATCACTGAAGACAGGACGGAAAATCGGCAAATGAGGGTCACCTACCTATCCTGATGACATGGACGACAAGGTGGAGGTCTCGCTTTACATCTCTGCTGCTGAGATCCTGCCGAAAAACACACCAGAGTCACTTATGGGTTATGTGAACTGGTGGACAGAAAACGGCAAATTCCTAATTCAAGAAGGACTGGAGGTCAAAATACTGGAGGTATCTGGATCAGTCCTGGAATCATTTGGAAACGCGGCAATGTACAGCAAGAGATTGTTGATCCAGGGAGTATCCGACTGCCATTGGGTGCCAGGAAGGAATCTTTGGAGGAAGGCTTATTTTGGATTCCTCTGTATCAAATGCAAGTCTGAGGTTTTTTCCTTTTTTTGCCTTTGGTTTGAAAAAGATGGACATGTCTTTTTTTACATAGGTATGTAGCTATATATGACTACGGTCGGACTTGTCAGTATGTCAGAACTCGGTAGGAGGGGCCGAAGTATAAAGGTGTTAATAAGCAGCCTAGTGCCCTTTAATGATGTAGATTTAAAGATGAATAAAATCCATTCAATATTTGGTCCTTCAGTGAGGCTCATAGACATTGTTCCAGTAACGATGTGTTCCCTGATTCCAGTACCGATCTGTGTTCCCCATGATTCCAGTAACGATGTGTTCCCCATGATTCCAGTAACGATGTGTTCCCTGATTCCAGTACCGATCTGTGTTCCCCATGATTCCAGTAACGATGTGTTCCCTGATTCCAGTACCGTTCTGTGTTCCCCATGATTCCAGTACCGATCTGTGTTCCCCATGATTCCAGTAACGATGTGTTCCCTGATTCCAGTACCGATCTGTGTTCCCCGATTCCAGTACCGATCTGTGTTCCCCATGATTCCAGTACCGATCTGTGTTCCCCATGATTCCAGTACCGATCTGTGTTCCCCCTGATTCCAGTACCGATCTGTGTTCCCCATGATTCCAGTACCGATCTGTGTTCCCCCATGATTCCAGTACCGATCTGTGTTGTCACTTTTTCTGTTACTTATGTGTGTGTTTTCACGGATGGAGGGTGTGGGTCCTCGGGCCTACCCTGAAGTCTAGGGGGAGGATGTGTGGCCTTTTGGTTCCTTCCTTCCCTGATCCCTAGGGGGCCCTTCTTCGGGAGAGCCCCCTGACCAAGTACTGGGTGTCTGGCTTCGGCTGGACACAAGGAACGGTGGTCCACCAGGCCTTTTGGCCAGGAGGACCAATTGGGAACCTTGTCCCCGTCAGGAGCTTCATGCCCCGGGGGATCAGGGTAAGCGGTCCAAGCCCCTTTAGGGGTAGGACACAGCACACCCCTAAGTGCACTTTTTCGTGTGGTGTTTTGCACTTGCACATTTTTTGTGAACACTTACGGGTTTTTTTCGTTATAGTTGCACGTTTGCGGACTTAAAAAAACAAAACAAAAAAAAAAAAAAAAAACGATCTGTGTTCCCCATGATTCCAGTACCGATCTGTGTTCCCCATGATTCCAGTACCGATCTGTGTTCCCCATGATTCCAGTACCGATCTGTGTTCCCCATGATTCCAGTACCGATCTGTGTTCCCCATGATTCCAGTACCGATCTGTGTTCCCCATGATTCCAGTACCGATCTGTGTTCCCCGATTCCAGTACAGATCTGTGTTCCCCGATTCCAGTACCGATCTGTGTTCCCCCTGATTCCAGTACCTTTCTGTGTTCCCCCTGATTCCAGTACCGATCTGTGTTCCCCATGATTCCAGTACCGATCTGTGTTCCCCGATTCCAGTACCGATCTGTGTTCCCCGATTCCAGTACCTTTCTGTGTTCCCCCTGATTCCAGTACCGATCTGTGTTCCTCATGATTCCAGTACCGATCTGTGTTCCCCGATTCCAGTACTGATCTGTGTTCCCCCTGATTCCAGTACCGATCTGTGTTCTCCATGATTCCAGTACCGATCTGTGTTCCCCATGATTCCACTACCAGTCCATGTTTCCCATGATTCCAGTACCGATTCACGATCCCCAGAATTCAAGTACTGGGCCATAATCCCCATGATTCCAGTACCAGTCCATCTTCCCAATTATTCCAGTACTAGTCTATGTTCCCCAATATTACAGTGCTGGTCCATGATCCTAATGATTCCAGTACTGGGCAATATTCCCACATGATTCCACTACCAATCCATATTAGCCATGATTCCAGTACCACTCAATGTTCCACATGATTCCAGTACTGGGCCATGACCCCCATGATTCTAGCACTGGGCCATGGCCCCCATGATTGCACCACTGGGCCATGATCCCCATGATTCTAGCACTGGGCCATGACCCCCATGATTCCACCACTGGGCCATGATCCCCATGATTCCAGTATTCCATCATGAATTGGGAGGGGGGCGTAGTTTGGCATCTTTGCCCTGGGCGCTGGATGACCCTGTCCCGGCATTGCTCAGAAGGATGTCAAATTGCAGCCTCACAATAATGTGCTCTCCTATCTAATGTTCCTTATTTTACATTTCTGCCCTTTTACATTTTTTCTGGGTCTACTTTGGTCTAATTCTTTCATTTAATTCCCAGGAAAGACGTACCGTGAACAGTGCAGAGAGTCGCTCCGGCTTATCGGGGTTCCTCGGGCCGCCGTTCTTGTTCAGTCTCACCATAAACCTCTCACTGGGGAGGAGAACAGAGAGAACTTTCAGTGCCACGGCGGAGCTCAGGTGACAACGCTGGAGGATGACATAAATGACCTGCGGGGAGGAGGGTGGCGGCGGAGCGTACTTCACCTGATCTGGCGGGCTTCTCTCATGTCGTACAGCGAGAAGAAAAGGTCCACATCCTCCCCGATGTTGCTGTGCGTGAAGCTCTTCAGGTTGAGTAGCAGGTGGTGAGGCACCGGGGCGCGAGGCTCCTTGTGACGCTGCCGCAGGGTGTCCGCCTGTGACGGGAAAGCAGGTCAGCCATCTCCAACCTGTCCCAGGAATTTCCCTGCACCCCCCCAGTGCTCTAGAGCTGCACCCCCTGTGTTCATTCCACCATATCATTGTCTACAATGACACCTTGCCATGTACCCTCTGTATATAAAGAGCACCTGTCCTCCACAGCTGAACCATGCCATTGTACCCTCTGTATATAAAGAGCACCTGTCGTCCCCCTGTACTGAGCCCTCCTGCCTCCTCCCTGTACTGTACCCTCCTGCCTCCTCCATGTACTGTACCCTCCTGACTCCCCCCTGTACTGTGCCCTACTGCCTCCCCCTGTACTGTGCCCTACTGCCTCCCCCTGTACTGTGCCCTTCTGCCTCCTCCCTTTATGTACCCTCCTGCCTCCCCCTGTACTGTGCCCTCCTGCTTCCTCCATGTACTGTGCCCTACTGCCTCCCCCTGTACTGTACCCTCCTGACTCCCCCCTGTACTGTGCCATCCTAACCCCCCCCTGTACTGTGCCATCCTGACTCCCCTTGTAACGAGCCCTCCTGACTCCCCCTGTACTGTGCCCTCCTGACTCCCCCTGTACTGTGCCCTCCTGACTACCCCTGTACTGTGCCCTCCTGACTACCCCTGTACTGTGCCCTCCTGACTACCCCTGTACTGTGCCCTCCTGACTCCCCTTGTACCGAGCCCTCCTGACTACCCCTGTACTGTGCCCTCCTGACTCCCCCTGTACTGTGCCCTCCTGACTGCCCCCTGTACTGTGCCCTCCTGACTCCCCCTGTACTGTGCCCTCCTGACTCCCCCTGTACTGTGCCCTCCTGACTGCCCCCTGTACTGTGCCCTCCTGACTCCCCCTGTACTGTACCCTCCTGACTCCCCCCTGTAGTGTGCCATCCTGACCCCCCCTGTACTGTGCCCTCCTGACTCCCCCTGTACTGTGTCCTCCTGACTCCCCCTGTACTGTGCCCTCCTGACTCCCCCCGTACTGTGCCCTCCTGACTCCCCCCGTACTGTGCCCTCCTGACTCCCCCCGTACTGTGCCCTCCTGACTCCCCCCTGTACTGTGCCCTCCTGACTCCCCCTGTACTGTGCCCTCCTGACTCCCCCCGTACTGTGCCCTCCTGACTCCCCCCGTACTGTGCCCTCCTGACCCCCCCGTACTGTGCCCTCCTGACTCCCCCCTGTACTGTGCCCTCCTGACTCCCCCCGTACTGTGCCCTCCTGACTCCCCCCGTACTGTGCCCTCCTGTACTGTGCCCTCCTGACTCCCCCCGTACTGTGCCCTCCTGACTCCCCCCTGTACTGTGCCCTCCTGACTCCCCCCGTACTGTGCCCTCCTGACTCCCCCCCCCCGTACTACTGTGCCCTCCTGACTCCCCCTGTACTGTGCCCTCCTGACTCCCCCTGTACTGTGCCCTCCTGACTCCCCCTGTACTGTGCCCTCCTGACTCCCCCTGTACTGTGCCCTCCTGACTCCCCCTGTACTGTGCCCTCCTGACTCCCCCCTGTACTGTGCCCTCCTGACTCCCCCCTGTACTGTGCCCTCCTGACTCCCCCCTGTACTGTGCCCTCCTGACTCCCCCCTGTACTGTGCCCTCCTGACTCCCCCTGTACTGTGCCCTCCCCCCCCCCTGTACTGTGCCCTCCTGACTCCCCCCGTACTGTGCCCTCCTGACTCCCCCCGTACTGTGCCCTCCTGACTCTCCCCGTACTGTGCCCTCCTGACTCTCCCCGTACTGTGCCCTCCTGACTCTCCCCGTACTGTGCCCTCCTGACTCCCCCCGACTGTGCTCTCCCTGTACTGGGCCCTCCTGACTCTCCCTGTACTAAGACCTCCTGACCCCCCCTGTACTGTGCCCTCCTGACCCCCCCTGTACTGTGCCCTCCTGACCCCCCCTGTACTGTGCCCTTTGTGATGATTAGTCTTTGATTTATAGCATGATTTCTTATTGTTTAAAATAGATTTTCTGAAAAGTACTAAGTATATGTTTTTATTTTATTAACTATTTATACTTCCTGTTCTGGTGACAACTCTGACATACTGGATTACTTCCTGATCTGGTGACAACTCTGACATACTGGATTACTTCCTGATCTGGTGACAACTCTGACATACTGGATTACTTCCTGATCTGGTGACAACTCTGACATACTGGATTACTTCCTGTTGTGGTGACAACTCTGACATACTGGATTACTTCCTGTTGTGGTGACAACTCTGACATACTGTATTACTTCCTGTTCTGGTGAGAACTCTGACATACTGGATTACTTCCTGTTGTGGTGACAACTCTGACATACTGGATTACTTCCTGATCTGGTGACAACTCTGACATACTGGATTACTTCCTGTTGTGGTGACAACTCTGACATACTGGATTACTTCCTGTTGTGGTGACAACTCTAACATACTGGATTACTTCCTGTTGTGACCAGGAAAAATAGAGAAAGTGAATCCTCCCAGCGTGGACATCAACATGTTTTTTTTTTTTTTTTTTAAACACAGGAAATGGGAAGAGTTATGCAAATATTATTATGCCTTGATGGGCGGGTCTCAGTCTGGAGGAGTGGGCGGTCCTAGGCAGGCTGTATTTGCATAGGTAACGCCCACATGTGATGTAGAGCCTCCACGACTGAAAGAAATGAAGCCAATGAATGAAAGGGGTGGGGCCAGGGATGGTCAGGCTGGGGAGGAAAGGTCAGTGGGTTTCTGTGCGGCGGCACGGTCTGCACGCGGCGGGAGCTCAGAGATCCAACACCGAACCCATCAGAGGAACAGGAATGATAAGCACCAGGGGCGGACTGACTATTTGGAAACTCGGGCACTGCCTGAGGGCCCGGGGTCAGTAGGGGGCCCCATGAGATGCCCCTGGTACCTTTTTCATAGGTTTTTTTGAGTTTGGGCAAGGACACAGGGGCCCCATGATCCCCTATTGCCCGGGGGCCCCATGAGTTGTTAGTCCGCCCCTGATAAGCACTTCCCGGCTCCCTTGCTTGCCCTGCCAGGATTTAATTGCTGACCTCCTTCCCGACTCCTCTTCGCTCTCCGGCACTCGCCGCCCCTCTCACCTGATTGGTGCTCTGCTGCACGCTGTGCCGGCTTGACAGATGCTGCGGAGAAAATGGCACGGTGTCAGTGCGATGAGGTTCCGGCGCAGAGAAACAGATAAAAATACACACGAGGCATTGTGATAGCGAGGCGCGTACTCCCCCCCACTCCCCTCCCCCACTATGTTATAGGATGATGGGGGCAAAACTAGACATGTGCAGAATGAAAAAATGTGTTTCACTTCAGATCGACTCCTTAAGTTGCTAATTTCATTTTGTTCCGTTACAATGTTGCAATACGTGTTCAAACTAGTCAAATGTATCAAAGTGATCCCTCTCTGGCCAACCGCATCAAAGTGATCCCTCTCTAGCCAACCGCACCAAAGTGATCCTTCTCTGGCCAACCGCATTAAAGTGATCCTTCTATGACCAACCGCATCAAAGTGATTCCTCTCTAGCCAACCGCATCAAAGTGATCCCTCTCTGGCCAACCGCATCAAAGTGATCCCTCTCTGGCCAACCGCATCAAAGTGATCCCTCTCTAGCCAACCGCACCAAAGTGATCCTTCTCTGGCCAACCGCATTAAAGTGATCCTTCTATGACCAACCGCATCAAAGTGATCCCTCTCTAGCCAACCGCATCAAAGTGATCCCTCTCTAGCCAACTGCATCAAAGTGATCCCTCTCTGACCAACTATCTCAAAGTGATCACTCTCTGACCAACCGCATCAAAGTGATCCCTCTCTGGCCAACAGCATCAAAGTGATCCTTCTCTGGCCAACTGCATCAAAGTGATTCCTCTCTGGCCAACTGCATCAAAGTGATCCTTCTCTGGCCAACAGCATCAAAGTGATCCCTCTCTGGCCAACCGCATTAAAGTGATCCTTCTCTGACCAACCGCATCAAAGTGATCCCTCTCTAACCAACTGCATCAAAGTGATCCTTCTCTGGCCAACCGCATCAAAGTGATCCCTCTCTGGCCAACAGCATCAAAGTGATCCTTCTCTGGCCAACCGCATCAAAGTGATCCCTCTCTGGCCAACTGCATCAAAGTGATCCTTCTCTGGCCAACCGCATCAAAGTGATCCCTCTCTGGCCAACCGCATCAAAGTGATCCCTCTCTGGCCAACCGCATCAAAGTGATCCTTCTCTGGCCAACCGCATCAAAGTGATTCCTCTCTGGCCAACTATCTCAAAGTGATCCCTCTCTGGCCAACCGCATCAAAGTGATCTTTCTCTTACCAACTGCATCAAAATGATCCCTCTCCAGCCAACTGCGTCAAAGTGATCCTTCTCCGGCCAACTGCATCAAAGTGATCCTTCTCTGGCCAACTGTGTCAAAGTGATCCCTCTCCGGCCAACTGCGTCAAAGTGATCCTTCTCTGGCCAACAGCATCAAAGTGATCCCTCTCTGGCCAACTGCATCAACGTGATCCCTCTCTGGCCAACTGCATCAAAGTGATCCCTCTCTAGCCAACTGCATCAAAGTGATCCTTCTCTGGCCAACAGCATCAAAGTGATCCCTCTCTGGCCAACTGTCTCAAAGTGATCCCTCTCTGGCCAACTGTCTCAAAGGGATCCCTCTCTGGCCAACCGCATCAAAGTGATCTTTCTCTTACCAACTGCATCAAAATGATCCCTCTCCAGTCAACTGCGTCAAAGTGATCCTTCTCCGGCCAACTGCATCAAAGTGATCCTTCTCTGGCCAACTGTGTCAAAGTGATCCCTCTCCGGCCAACTGCGTCAAAGTGATCCTTCTCTGGCCAACAGCATCAAAGTGATCCCTCTCTGGCCAACTGCATCAACGTGATCCCTCTCTGGCCAACTGCATCAAAGTGATCCCTCTCTGGCCAACTGCATCAACGTGATCCCTCTCTGGCCAACTGTCTCAAAGTGATCCCTCTCTGGCCAACTGTCTCAAAGTGATCCCTCTCTGGCCAACTGCATCAAAGTGATCCCTCTTTGGCCAACTGCATCAAAGTGATCCCTCTCTGGCCAACTGTCTCAAAGTGATCCCTCTTTGGCCAACTGCATCAAAGTGATCCCTCTCTGGCCAACTGTCTCAAAGTGATCTGGCCAGCTTCTTCAAAGAGATCCCTTTCCAGCTAAGTGCATCTAAATAATCGTTCTCCAGCCAACTGTGTCAAAGCGATCCCTCTATGGCCAGTTTCTATTCTACGGTGCGAATACCGAACACCTCCAGTACTTGCTTCCACGCGCTTTAGCAGACATCTAGCGCCAGCACGGGGCAGGCAGACACAGCTTGGATCTGGTCACTGAAGCAGCTAACATACCCGATGGTGTCATACAGTACATATGAGAACATTGTCTGAACGTTGAGCACAAGCCTCTCTGCAGTTCTAATCCTGGTACTACTCACCATCTTGTATAAGTCAGAGACGCTGATCTGTTCAGAATCCACCACTTCAAACTCTTTACGGGGGACTAAGTCCAGACCGAGGTGCCTGGGGGAGACACGGAGAAGGCAATGAGAATATCACAGGACCCGTCCAAAGTTGGCCTGAAAAGTAAACCTTCCTATAGTAACTTTTTTTCTTCTCTGTCTTTTCAGGTAAATATTGGATTCCAAGCAGAGGCAATGAGCTGTCACTGAGTTCTTGATGAAGGAGAGGTGCTGACTGGCTGAAATCCACAGAAGGCTATAAGATGTTGATGGAGGTGACACCATTCACAAGAGTCACCAATGACAAGACATTGCTCATCAATGGTGTCATGTCTGTAAACATTCTGTAGGCTTCTGTGGATGTCAGACAGCCGGCACCCCTCCTTCATCCAGAACTCAATGACAGCACATTGCCTCTGCTTGGAATCCAATATTTATGTGTTATGATAAAGAAAGAGAAGAGTTACTATAGAGAAGAGGTATCCAAACTGCAGCCTGGGGGCTGGATGTGGCCCTTTGCCTTCCTTTATCCGGCTCTTGGGGCATTATCCCTTCCACAGACACAAATGATGGGGCACTATTTCTCCCATGGACATCAACAATGGGGCATGATTCCCCCTACTGACACCAACTATCAGGCACTATTCCTCCCACTGACACCAACTATCAGGCACTATTTCTCCCACTGACACCAATGATAGGGCACTATTCCTCCCACTGACACCAATGATGGGGCGCTATTCCTCCCACTGACACCAATGATGGAGCACTATTCCTCCCACTGACACCAATGATAGGGCACTATTCCCCTCACTGACACCAATGATGGGGCACTATTCCCCCCACTGACACCAATGATGGGGCACTATTCCTCCACTGACACCAATAATGGGGCACTATTCCTCCCACTGACACCAATGATGGGGCATTATTCCCCCCACTGACACCAATGATGGGGCACTATTCCTCCCACTGACACCAATGATGGGGCACTATTCCTGCCACTGACATGATGGGGCACTATTCCTCCCACTGACACCAATGATGGGACACTATTCCTCCCACTGACACCAATGATGGGACACTATTCCTCCCACTGATACCAATGATGGGGCACTATTCCTCCCACTGACACCAATGATGGGGCACTATTCCTCCCACTGATACCAATGATGGGGCATTATTCCCCCCACTGACACCAATGATGGGGCACTATTCCTCCCACTGACACCAATGATGGGGCACTATTCCTGCCACTGACATGATGGGGCACTATTCCTCCCACTGACACCAATGATGGGACACTATTCCTCCCACTGACACCAATGATGGGGCACTATTCCTCCACTGACACCAATAATGGGGCACTATTCCTCCCACTGACACCAATGATGGGGCATTATTCCCCCCACTGACACCAATGATGGGGCACTATTCCTCCCACTGACACCAATGATGGGGCACTATTCCTGCCACTGACATGATGGGGCACTATTCCTCCCACTGACACCAATGATGGGACACTATTCCTCCCACTGACACCAATGATGGGACACTATTCCTCCCACTGATACCAATGATGGGGCACTATTCCTCCCACTGACACCAATGATGGGGCACTATTCCTCCCACTGATACCAATGATGGGGCATTATTCCCCCCACTGACACCAATGATGGGGCACTATTCCTCCCACTGACACCAATGATGGGGCACTATTCCTGCCACTGACATGATGGGGCACTATTCCTCCCACTGACACCAATGATGGGGACACTATTCCTCCCACTGACACCAATGATGGGGCACTATTCCTCTTACTAAAAGCAAAGATGGGGCACTGTCTGCTCTTGCTGTGGGCATTTTCTACTGTCTGAAGTCAGGCCCCCCCATAAAGCCGGAAGGACAGTAAACTGGCCCTTTGTTTGGAGACCCCTAATATGGGGGACTTGTATAGCGCGCTTTACATATATATTGTACATTCACATCAGTCCCCGCCCCCGAGGGGCGTACAATCTAAGGTCCCTAACTCACATTCATACATACACATACTAGGGACAATTTAGACAGGAGCCAATTCACCTCCCAGCATGTCTTTGGAGTGTTGGAGGAAAGTCACGCAGGCACAGGGAGAACATGCAAACTCCAGGCAGGTGATGCCGTGGCTGGGATTCGAACCAACAACCTGAGTACTGTCAGGCGGAAGTGCTAACCACTTAGCGATTGTGATGCCCGCGGTGCAACCAATGTAGGTTAATGAAAAAAAAAAAAAGTCACGCCCACTTCAGCATTACTTCGGGCGGAGCCATCATAGCGACAAAGGACAAGGGGATCCACCCACCAATACCTGAGCGACATACTCACTCATTGCCCCAGTCCAGTCGGACGGTCAGGTGTCGCTTGACCTCTCGTACTTGGTCCTGAGTCAGGTGACCTGACAGCAGCTGCCTGCGCAGGTCAATCACCTCGTTCATGACATGTCGCAGCTTGTAGAAGAGGTCCACCTTGTGTTTCTGGGGTCAGAAGAGAGAGGAGAGCAAAGTTTGGGGGCGTTGTCCGGGATCAACGTGGGGATGAACATGGGATGAACATGGAGATGAACATGGAGGTGAACATGGGGATGAAGATGGAGATGAACATGGAGGTGAACATGGGGATGAACATGGAGGTGAACATGGAGGTGAACATGGGGATGAACATGGAGATGAACATGGGGATGAACATGGGGATGAACATGGAGATGAACATGGAGATGAACATGGAGATGAACATGGGGATGAACAAGGGGATGAACATGGAGATGAACATGGGGATGAACATGGGGATGAAGATGGAGATGAACATGGGGATGAAGATGGAGATGAACATGAGGATGAACATGGAGATGAACATGGGATGAACATGGAGATGAACAAGGGGGTGAACATGGGGATGAACATGGGGATGAACATGGAGATGAACATGGAGATGAACACAGGGATGAACACGGAGATGAACATGGGGATGAACATGGGGATGAACATGGAGATGAACATGGAGATGAACACAGGGATGAACACGGAGATGAACATGGGGATGAACATGGGGATGAACATAGGGATGAAAATGGGGATGAAAGACGGAGTGGGAATCAAGTGTCAGAGAAGATGTGTGTAGGACGTGAGATTACGGAGAGAGAGAGTGGGAGGCAGAACAAGAGATGACAGCAGAGAGATTAATTATCTCCATTATACAGGCAGTACATTAGACAATAGGTGCGCACAGGTATGTGTGATGGAAGCTGACATGTAGTAGTAGTGTACTCTGCAGGAAAATCTATTCGTTCTTCTCACAACGCCGAGGCTTACAGCGCCCCACACACAGCGCAGATCTCCCATATGGAAGGAAAATATATTTGAAATGCTGCAATTTTGGCTGTATTCAATATATTTCAAAATATAATTCAATAAATATATATAAATAAATAAATATATATATATATATATATATATATATATATATATACATATACATATATATACACTGCATGCTGAAATGCATTTGATTACAAAATATATAAAAAAAATATATTGAAAATATTCTCAAATATATTGACATATATTTGAAATGCTACAATTTTGGCCGTATTCAATATATTTTTATACATATATATTTATACTGTATGTCGAAATGCGTTTTTATTACAAAAATATCTGAAAAATACATTTCAAATATACTGTATGTCTTTAGAAATACAAATCTACATTTTTGGAATGCCTTTACAAATATAGGTAAAAAATCTGTTAAAATTACATTTTTATATGTTAAAAAAAACTGAAGAATATATTTAAAAATTTTTTATTTTTTAAATATATTCTTCAGTTTTTTTTAACATATAAAAAAGTTATTTTAACATATATTTTTTACCTATATTTGTAAATGCACAGCTCTCTCTCCTTGCGCAGAGTGACTGGTCTTGTCTCCCGCCCCCCCTTCCTGTAGTTTCCTGCAGGAAGCCTGTAATGGGTGGAGCCTGCTGAGCCCCTCCCACAGCTCTGTCCTCTCTCCTTGCGCAGGGTGACTGGTCTTGTCTCCGCCCCCCCTTTCCTGTAGTTTCCTGCAGGAAGCCTGTAGTGGGTGGAGCCTGACAAGCCCCTCCCACAGCTCTGTTCTCTCTCCTTGTGCAGGGTGACTGGTCTTATCTCCGCCCCCCTTCCTGTAGTTTCCTGCAGGAAGCCTGTAGTGGGTGGAGCCTGCTGAGCCCCTCCCACAGCTCTGCCCACTCTCCTTGCGCAGGGTGACTGGTCTTGTCTCCGCCCCCCCTTCCTGTAGTTTCCTGCAGGAAGCCTGTAGTGGGTGGAGCCTGACAAGCCCCTCCCACAGCTCTGCCCTCTGCACAGGCTATGTGCAGAACAGTGATGATGACATGGCTACTTTTACAAGGTAACATCTGGGTTTGCAGAGGCATTGGGTACACATGAATTGGATTTATATCCTCTGTGGCTGCTGAGGAAATCCAAGGAATGTTTTTGTACCCCGAGTTCATCCGGTTATCCCATTGGGGAGACATCACAGCGGCCTAGAAGATCGCGTTCTCCACCCGAACGCTTTTTTTAATCTGATCCTAAATATGTGGGAGGAGCTTTGACTGTCAGTTTAGCAGAAAGCAAAGATTTTGTATAAAATTACCTAAAACCCCGCCCCTTCCCCCCCTCCATCCATCCGTCCATTAAGTAATTATAAAGCTTCCATATGTTCTATTTTTAGCACCTTAAACCCTTTTATTACAATTTCACACTGAAATTCTAATAATAGCTCAGCCGGTGAGAAATGACTCGGTTTGACTCATAGGTGCTCCCCGGCGCATTAATGTCCCTCCCAGAATCCTTTGCTCATCTCACACACCGTAGCGCAGAGCTTCCCCCTCACGGTGTTCCTGACGCCAGCTAATTAGACCGCCATTATAACACGCCAATGAATAGCCCCCCTTCCGCTGTGACCGCCTGCGTCTTCCACCCCCCAACCGATCGTCCTCTTCTCCAGCTCTGGGCATTACATGCACTTATATCGATGTATTCTGTATATCAACTTGTTGTGTCATCCATCGTGTACACGGATACAACTCCATCACCGCATGGGAAGGATGACGGAGTACACAGAAATTGTTACATTGTATCATTGTTAGATCTCCAAACAGAACACAAAGTAACTTCTCTGCTGCAAGTGATCCACGGTGACATCACTGAGAATGCAGCCTATCCGTTCACTAGAGAGCGATGACATCACTGAGAATGGAGCCTATCCGTTCACTAGAGAGCGATGACATCACTGAGAACACAACCTATCCATTCACTAGAGAGCGATGACATCACTGAGAACACAGCCTATCCATTCACTAGAGAGCGGTGACATCACTGAGAACACCGCCTATCCATTCACTAGAGAGCGGTGACATCACTAAAGAATTCAGCCTATCCATTCACTAGAGAGCGGTGACATCACTAAAGAATTCAGCCTATCCGTTCACTAGAGAGCGGTGACATCATTAAAGAATTCAGCCTATCCGTTCACTAGAGAGCGGTGACATCACTGAGAACACCGCCTATCCATTCACTAGAGAGCAGTGACATCACTAAAGAATTCAGCCTATCCATTCACTAGAGAGCGGTGACATCACTGAGAATTCAGCCTATCCGTTCACTAGAGCACGGTGACATCACGAAGAACGCAGCCTATCCATTCACTAGAGAGCGATGACATCACTGAGAATGCAGCCTATCCAATCACTAGAGCACGGTGACATCACGGAGAACGCAGCCTATCCAATCACTAGAGCACGGTGACGCAGCCTATACAATCACTAGAGCGCGGTGACCTCACTGAGCATGCTCCTGTAGTTGTATTGCTGTGTAGATGGTAGGGGATAGGAATATTGGATTTGGGAATCTCGGAGATTCAGTCCCGATTTTACGCTCACAATCGATCAATGCCAAGACGACTCACAAACCGTCTGCAATTATTCCGAGTTTCTCGCCGTCACCTGACGCGCAAACCTGCACTGTATCTCGCCGTGTAATTAGTCCGTCAGGCCAGAAAATCGGCGGCCATTGCGATGAAATCTGGCATTTCTCTCAGATCGACCCAACTTCTGGAAATGTTTTAACAAACCTGTCGCTCGTTGTCTGTCGCAGAGACGGGATCCTCGCAAACCACCGAGGCGAACGGCGCGCAAGAAACCTTTCCCGGGCTATCGATCCAGACGGCGGTTCACGGAACCGCTGTGGCGGCGGGGAAGGTGACCCCTCCCTCCCCTCCCCCTTCCTTCCAGACAATTTAGCATACAATTAATATTCCGCTGCACCTGACGCTGGGAATAGTTTGTTTGTCGGAGGAACCCACGCAGCGCGGGAGACGAGACCTCCAAACCTGTCAAAATGTAGAGGAAATCAGCAAACATTCGGAATAAATTGCTTCTGGATTCCTGGCAGCAACACCAGAGAAAGAAAAAAAAAATGGGAAAACAAGCTGCGGGCAAACTTCTCAAACAAGATGGACTCCAAGGTACGAGCAGTCCCGTGCTGGACGGGTGATGTCCTCGAAGGACCGAAAAATCGGGCGATAAAGAGACCCGCCCTCGCCGTTCTGTAGGTCACATGTTTGTATACAAAGTCATCATTCCTCAGTGTAGGCAATGCTTCTGTACTGGAGGGCACAGGGGTTAAAGGAGCACTCCATCTAAAGGTGACTATCCTGCTGCATGTGGCCCTTTGGCACTTACTGTGTGGCCCTAGGGGCCCCTGTAGACAGCGGTCTGCTTTGGTGCTTAAGCAAGCCAATGAAAGAGAAGCATTCATTATCCTGATTTCTGGAAGTTAATGGCTTGATTTGTTCCTTTTATTCTGCACTGTTCATCCCTGTATCATGTCTGCAGTCTCTGACCGTCTCCTGTAGTCTGTCTGCAGTCTCTGACCATCTCCTGTTCCATGTCTGCAGTCACTGACCATCTCCTGTACTGTGTCCGCCGTCTCTGGTCATCCCCTGTACTGTGTCCGCAGTCTCTGGTCATCCCCTGTACTATGTCCGCAGTCTCTGGTCGTCTCCTGTACTGTGTCCGCAGTCTCTGGTCATCTCCTGTACTATGTCTGCAGTCTCTGACCATCACCTGTACCATGTCTGCAGTCTCTGGTCATCTCCTGTACTGTGTCTGCAGTCTCTGACCATCTCCTGTACTGTGTCCGCCGTCTCTGGTCATCTCCTGTACTATGTCTGCAGTCTCTGACCATCACCTGTACCATGTCTGCAGTCTCTGGTCATCTCCTGTACTGTGTCTGCAGTCTCTGACCATCTCCTGTACTGTGTCCGCAGTCTCTGGTCATCTCCTGTACTGTGTCCGCAGTCTCTGGTCATCTCCTGTACTGTGTCTGCAGTCTCTGGTCATCTCCTGTACTATGTCCGCAGTCTCTGGTCATCTCCTGTACTGTGTCTGCAGTCTCTGACCATCTCCTGTACTGTGTCCACAGTCTCTGGTCATCTC